TGTACTGTCTCATTCTGCTACCATGGTGAGAAGTCACGCCGTCGTCTCCCTCGGGTGACGAACGGCCGTTTAAGCAAAACATTTCGGACATCTGCTACCACATCATGCTTCGACCGGTCCATCCTAATGCACTCGCGCCTATCTCGCTCTCTTGATCACAGCCTCTTTCTCGCTGCATCGCAGCACGCATCAACCGCTGCGCCATTCTTTGGGTCGCACGTCCCTCTCACCGCAGCCGATGTCACCACCCGCGGAAGAACGAAACTTGCTTGCTGATCGAGCCGCGAGCCAACGAACGCTATCGTCTTAATCCCATTATTGTTTCTAGCTTCGTGTAAGCGCGAGAACAGCAGAGAAAAGATTCATGCCATCAAGTACGTTTCCAGCCACCCTTACGATTGAGGATAGATGGCGTCTCTAGACTAATCTTTCGGCACCGTTGCATCAAGCTACTTCTCATGTTTGACACTGACTTTGTCTAGCAATAATCACACGTGGACTACAAGTGGACGCTCTGGCATTCCCAATTTCAGCTAGGCGAAGAGCGCATCAGCTAAAGAGCCTGCGTGAAGGCCTCACATCATTCGCCATCAGCTGCGATTCGCTGGCTGATCTGGACCGTCTCGGTATTCAAGCTCGCAGCGATTGGAAAGAACTTGCCAGGATGCATCCGCTTTAGTCGGGAGGGGATGCCCTGGCAATCCAATGATATGAGTCGGAGAATTTACGGTATTGGCCGAATGTCAAACTCGCACAGGCGCACAGCGGGGAGGCTTTGCATGAAGTCGCATGAATGATGACCCCAACGGACGAAGAGGATTGGACGACCAAACAAGCATATCGAGAGAGCTACCACCGACGACGTAATGGTACCGAAACTTCAGGTATCATCCTCTGCGGTCCATCCAAAATCTGGATTTATCGCTTCGCAATGGACAGTGGTATATCCGACAGCTAAAGTAGCCAGTATGTTCGACTTCATCAACGACGAGGCGGAAGTCCACTTATAATTATGGCTTCATCAACAGGAGAGCGTTTAGTGCTGTACTAGGTCAAAGCCTGTTCACTCGGAGACTCGGGAAGCGGCGAGTCAAACTAAGCCTTCGGTCCCGATGGCACTAACAAGAGATTGACGTTGGGGCTTCGAGCTTTGACATCGACACAGGCCGTGGACAAACCCTTCGAAAGAATAGACCCTTCAGCACCAATGGCTTAAAGTTTGTCCTTAGGGCACGACAGACGGTCTCAAGTCTTTCTAGATTGCGCCCCGTGGCTTCGATTCTCGGCTGCTTAGACTTCTGTCACTTGCATGGCGACATGCCAACGAGTGTCACGAATCCGCCAGCCCAGCGTCATCGACGTGGGCAGCGTTAAACACAGCTCTCCATCCGTTGAAGCAACATTGCATACCTATGGCTCTGGGTCAACGGGTCCATTCGTCTAGTCATCGGTTGTATCCCACAGCTCCTACCTCACCATCGGAAGTTGGTTTCACCTTAATTTACCTACGACTCCCGCTCGGAACGCTCGCCGGATTCCAGTCGCCAAGCTTTTTTTGGTCCAGCACTATGAGCGGCCCAGCACTTGTTCCCGTCTCCACGTTCTTGACGTTAATCGTATCACCAATACTGCTCAAGGAAACAACGGCGCCTTTGGATCGCTGAGCTGCCTAGGATCCTCCCGGTCTGTCAAACACAGCCAACCCCAATTGCCGTTTTTCGCTATGACTCCCCTTTCCCCTCCTCTTCGTTCTTAGGCGCGGAAACAACAGGACCTAGAAAAAACACGCCATGCTCAAAATGACAGCTGAGCCGGTCACAATCGTCAAAGCGTTTTATTCACTTCATCGTTGCTTATGGCGAAGGCTGATGGATCGACCACTAGCCCATTCTATATTCATCCTGGACCAGAGCAACGTGCGGACGACGTGCCCGCAATTGACGAATACTACCGTGCATCCTGCGCACTTGAGTCTGAAGCGCTCCGAGCCGTCTCGACCCAGCCGCAATCTCCGTGAAAAATAGGCTGCGAATCTCGGCTCCGGTCATGAGTTCGCATGGGTGTCTTGAACACCTTCAACAATGATCACACCGCTAGTAACTAGAGTCTTGGTGTTGTCCGAGCAGCCCTTGAAAGCGTTCGAACCTACCGATCCTTACACGTTTGTCCGTACGGACTGACGGAGTACCAAATATTTTTCACTTTACGAATATCGACCAGGAAGTCTAGGTAACCACGTTGGCCGGACTTCGCTCCCGAGGTAAGGGACCCCTGGTTCATCTTCCACGAGCCCAACAGCGACCTTGCCATTAAGATCAACCTGGTTTCCACGTCTCTGTCTCCTCTCAGTGGCCCGAACGTCAGTTTCTGCGGCGCGGATAGGTATGATGGAGCATATGAGAGTATGAGGAGTTAAGTGAGGTCAAACTTGACTCAAGCCATAGCACTCTAACGCAATTTGACGACCGTGTGCTGACGGGCATCGGCGCCTATCCGAACAACGCGGGGTTTCTTCAACTTGCCAATAACTTATGCACGAGGCGGCCTACACGGAACTGAGACGTCTTTGAAGAATTGGAATAAGAAAGCAGCTTGCACTATGAGGCGTGGGGTTCACACTCTAATGGTTTTGCACAGCATCGTCGGTTTTTTGGAATATCTCAGACTATGATCAGCGATGTCACGAAATTGGGAGAAGAGAGGCCACCACGGAGATGTTCATGGTTATTCTCATTGTACAGCAACTCACTGCACCTTGGACGACGGTGAATGGAGGTACGGAGTACGGATACGGGACACAAACACTCGTCCATCTTGAGACGAAGATCAAATTGTCGAGACCTCCTCAGGCTCCCATCCTTCGGTGGGACCGATGAGAACCTGGGTGGAACCAGGTATCCTTGAAGATGCAGCATACATGTCTGAAATAGGTTGATCTCCGCCCCTAGCCACTCCTATCCTGAGCAATTGCCAGGGCCCCTGGCCTCTCGACCTCCCAACGAAGCTCCCCTGTCGACGACCCATCTCGACACTGGCTCCCCGAGATATCAAGGCTCCAGCCGTTCATTAATGCAGGGGGACTTTACTAACCTCGCACGTGTACTCCGTAGAGCGGTGGCAGGACAATATCGAAATCGACTGGGTTTACCGTTTTGCAACGAGCAGAGCGCCGGGATCGTGGATCCTGAGTGATGTCAATATCGCACCGTTGTATTGTAAGACGGGCCTCAGTAGAATATATTCGCCTAGTTGAGGAACCTCATATCCGACAACTTGACGAGAGAGACCAATATTTCATCTCGAAAGCTCGGCTCATAAAGACAATCACGGCTAGGACACATCATCGGCATACTTGACACGATACCATCAACATTTCACCTGATTTGGGATTTCCGCCTTCATTAGGGCCAGAGATAGCCAGGTCTGGTGGTCAGTGTGCGCGGACGCATCCGCGTTGAGATCGGCCGGCTACAACCTGGTTCATGACCGTGCTGGCGCGCTGCGATGCTCCAGCGTCGTCACATTCACACGGACTGGGGCGACTTTTTACACCCCGCACTTAGGACCATCTCTGCAACGACGTCGCATTCTTCACATCGCTTATGCTGCAAACGAGTCACGAAAATTCATAGAGAAATGATGCATGGTGGAGATGACTGCGGTACTCTCAGGAGTTCGCACTCGGAACTCACCATTCTCATAGTCATGGGACCACGAGGCAAATCCTCAACGGAACAGCGGCAACAGACAAGAAAATGAACCACAACGCCATGATACAGATGTTGCACTGCGAATGGATACTGTGTTGGCGCGCAGCGGTCGGCCAAAATTGAGGGTTTTTAGAGTTACGTCAACAACTGACAGGAAGAACTCGTGGCCCGGGCCTCGAAGATCTTGTGAGATCTGCTGAGCTGGCGCTGTATTGAGCAAACTGAGGGTTTCGCCCAGTGAAACACTGACGCTGAACAATGCCGTCTATCCTCTCGCTATCTGGATCCAGCTAGCTAACTGCACCATCCACTCTTCCATCTTATCTCGCGTTGTCTGGGTCAATCATTCTCCACCGACCAAGTGCCGATAACTCTGCAAACTTCCAAGTGCCGCATCACGCCAATGAGGACCGAAACCACAGCATCAGGCTTATGTGTAGCTTATTCCTGAGAAAACAACGCCGCCCATGCAGCCTTCGATATGCGCGTTCAGATGTGTCGAGGTTCACTTGTGTCGTCCTGTCTAGGTCGCTATCATGTCCGGCCGCAGACCGTTGACGATGATGAGACGACCTCCGATCTTGTTAGCCGGCATCCATCCACCAGGAAGCAACTTCATATGCCGGAAACAAGCTTTCTAAACAACCTCAGTGGAGATAAGGTGGTGGCACCTCGAGTGAGGGGATAGTAGGGCGCCATCATTGCGAGTATGGGCAGCAATCATTGTAATCTCAGGCATTGAAGGCCCCCACGCTCTTGAGGAACAGCACAGTACGGACACAACAGCAGGCATCTTCCTTCGCGGGACCTAGCTACACCAAGCAAAGTAAGGATCTGACATTGAGACAACCTGCCATCGTTCCAATATTCCTGGCATACCAAGCTTATAATACACATAGTAATGGCAGGCACTAGAGTCTGGTTCGTCGCAGACCCATGGTTAGCGCCATTGCCTCACATCGCTTACAACTCTCTCGAAACTCGCTTTACAACAGTCTCGGGATACGGCTGTTTGCACACTTCCCACATAGAGAGAGGTCTATACCAAAGCCCTCTCAACGACTTTCTGGCTCGATCAAGCCTGGTTTCTTCCCTAGTTGATCTCAACGACGGGCCGTGTGACACGTTGACAACACTATGCCCCTATTCGCACGTTGACTGATACGCCACTAGGTTGTAACCTTGCAACAAAAGGAGGATGTGGATTCGCTCACATCATAGACAGTTTACAGAACTTCGAAGACGCGTCAACTCTGTGGCGAACTATTTAGACCAAACTACCAAGCAATCATGGACCATGGGCGATTCTCTGCCAATTCTCGCTTCCACCAGGTTCCGGTGATAGGCAATGGTCAAGCCTCCAACGCAAGAGCGAATCGTCATATCACATAGGACCTGCCACTTCTCTGGTTGACAGTATGCCTGATCGTGGTATTGCAAGCATCATTGCCCCCAAAGAGAGGTTCTAATCTAGCGTTCCCGAGGCTCGAGCAGTAGGTGGCAGACACGCCTTCGCCTGCTTCAAGTGCGGGGTCGAAACAGCGTTTCATCCAGGAAACTTGACCTGGTAGTCATCTGCAACCTATTATTCGTCAATGGCAAGGAAATCACAAGTGCGGATAATCTCTCTATAACAGCTACGATACGGGGAAGGAGGCCGATCTCATCCCCGTCAGAAGCGAAGCCACACAACCGCAGTTACGGTTCAAGGCGTCCGCATAGAGGCAAGGCCAACGATGGGGGAACGACCAATGTTGAGTATCTAGCCCCCGAACGGCGTCACCTCGAGGCCCCGAGACTCAGGCTACCAACACATGAAGGTAGTATTCATGAGCTGCTTGAGGGGGGGGGGGGGCAATTGCGAAGCCGGGGGATGCGACCCCTAGAAACACTGTCACGAAAGGTTGAGGGCGAAGCATCACTGTATGGCACAAGAGTCAAGACTCAACTTGCAAAACGTGGCAAACCCCTTGACAAAACTGCAATTGGGCGCAGATTTGAGCGGCTAGCCAACCCTACAACTTTGCCCCTGGTAGGCCGCAGTCTCGGACTAGAGATGCTAACCTGGCGAGATTACCACACGTTGAAGAGTTGGGGAGATTCCCTGAGAGGTCCCGACATGGATGCCGGTGGCCCATGACAAAAGGGATCAACATGCGGAGTATTATTTCGTCGTATATTTTTGACTTTGGCACCCGTCTCGGGACCTGCATGTCAACGGGCATATTCGGGAGAGATCAGCAGTCAATCACATCCAAGTTTCCAATTTTCTCCGACGATTACAGCAGCGCAAATGCCGGAGCCACATGGTTGACAGGCCCTTTCTCTTTGTCAACTAACAACACCGCAACGACTTCGTAACCCGTAAGACAAGCTGATTTTGCAGAGGCATTGCATTCGATAGACGACAGCCATGACAGGAATGACGAGTTACCATTAGATTCATCGCTTTGCAATCACCATGACACGCTGTGGGAGTTGTAGTACTGTCAGAGACTAGTGGAGATGAAGGGAATAGACGTCAGGCGAGACCCTTCAATCCTCAAGCTACGGATACCATGGACTCGCCCACACTCTCCCTCCTCTCTCTTGTTGCCTGAAACTAACCCGAGGTTAAAGTTTGGCCAACGTTCCCAGGCTGTCATGTCAAGATCTTGTCGGTGCCCCTCATTTAATTCTTAGCGCGGAAAACGCGATCGGACTTGTGCTCCCCCGGCCCTTGTCCTACCAAGGCTCTCACTTACATTGCATTGCTGCAATCTACGGCAACGCACAAACAGACCGCGGCTTGCAGTAGCAGTATGCGTGCCATCATCATGAGTTGACAGAGCACGCAACGCTCAAACACGGGCCTCTTCCGACGAGCAGTGTAAGCCTTCTAGACATCTCTACCACGCATACGGCCCTCTCGCAATGGCTCTCGGTGCCAGACCGAGCCCTCCCGGCGCAGGATCAAGGCTAACCTTTCGGGCAGTATTCCCACACTTTCATATCCGGTATTCGGTCATTCGGCACCGATCCGGTCTCTGGCGGTCTCTAGAGAGGTTTGCAAGAAGCACCGTCCTCCTGGCCCCTCTCTTGGCGAACTCGGCCGGCCACCCCCGCTTCGGAGCAAGACCGATGCTCAATCCCTCCCCTCGGGCCCCAACGCAAAGAAAAAGAGGAAGAGTGAGAAAAGCCACGCGTTGAGCCTGGCTTCCGGCAACGCTCCCTGCTAAGCTTGAATTGTTAGCGTCCCTCTTGCTTGGGAAAACGCTATCCAGCGTGATCTGGGGGGGCCCTTATCCAGTCACAGCTCGGCCACGCCGCACCACTACCACCAATATGTATGAAGATGAGCTAGGCTGGGAGGGGCAGGCCGACACTGGCAGACTGGCTCCCCTTTTCTTGGTCTTGGCTTCAACGGGTGCGCTCCGCGGTTGCTGCTGGTCCATGAAGCTTCAAGGGCAAGGTCACGACGCACCTGCAGTGGTGCGAAACCGCGATCCCTCCAACGTGGTAGACAGAGAGGGCCAGATCAAGTCGGGGATGAAGCGTCCATACTCGAAAGGTGCCCATCCTCCGGCGCATCCTCCATGGCCGAAGTCCTTCGCTGCGGAATCTGGCCCTCCAAAACGGCATCGCTTTGCATTTCACACCCTGTTCGTGGCTCTTATCACTGCTTGCGACAGACTCACAGACTCACAGGTTAGAGCATGCCCTCCAGCAATTCAGCAGTCCAGCCTCTAGGCCTTGATAGAATCAGCATTCAGCGAACCTTCATGGCCTCACCCCTGCACTGCCTTGCCTACTTGCTGCTCAGTGAGTTTCCAAGCATTCGTTTGTCAGAGCTTACAAGCCCAGGGGCCCAGGCCAAACAACGCCCATTGCACCAGCCTGGGCCAGCGAGACAATCGTTCCCGTCTTCCAGGAACGAGGTCATCTCCTGTTCGTCAACAACCGTGACCAAATACTGCATTGTCTAAAAGCCCGTAGCCATACATTCGGGCTGTTTCACGACGGCACGAGGGAAGCGCACCTGTTCTTGCACAGCCCGACCCATCGCAGGCTTAACTTTCACAAACCTCTCAGGCGCCCCCCCCCCCCCCCCCCCCCCCCCCCCCCCCCCCACCAACACCCACCAAACCCAACAACACCAACCCCCCCCCCCCACCCCACCCAAACCCCCCCCCACCCACCCCAACCCCCCCACCCCCAGACCACACCCCCCCCCCCCCCCCCCCCCCCCCCCCCCGAAGGAAGCCCAAGCAAATATCGGCAAATATTGCACAAACTGTACGGATATTCCCAGCGCGATAGCTCGCATCTTATCATAGGCAACGCCACATATAGCGCTATAACGAAGAACTGCTGCAGCCCCTTTCAATCTCCAACCATCCCCTTTCCCCCCTCCCCCTTCCACCGAAGAAACGAGCGAGACCCCTGCTGGCTATTTGGACTCCGGTTGGACACGGGCTTCCAGAAGAATGTGGGTTCCTGTTGTGACAGGGTGACAGCGCGCCCCCATCAAGTGTGGGGTAAGGGTGGCCGGACAAGCTCCCACGGCTCCCAGCTCCCCCCTCCAAGGCTCAAGCTCCGAGGGCCCTGAGTAAATGAATAAGACGGATCCGTTATTGGTGATGGAGGCATGGATCTCTGCGATTGAGATTGAGAGGCCGTTTGGTATCCGCAAGCTTGGCGGTCTGTTTTCCTTCGGGGAGGGGTCTCAAGATGCAGAATATTCAATATCCTTTGCTATACTAAGCTTTCCACTCGGGAAAGTTTATCGCCCTTGAAGATGTTCGCCCAGTACGAGGATGGATCTTTTATTTCTCCTTAGTCGCAAGAAGCGATATTGCAAAAGAGAAATGACGGGCAGTATCTACCTTTACGTATTGGGAGGCTTCAAGCGATTATACCCGGATACGTAACGACTGTCACCTGGGTATCCGTATTCGTACGAAGTACACTACGAGACTGGACTAGGTGGTGTCTTTGCTGGGCGGCGGCCTCTACCTGTGGGCTTTCTCAGTGGGATTTTTTCTCGCCTAACGATAGGCATACCCGTGGCAACCGTCACGATGCAGGTCTTGTCACATATCTCGCATCCACCCATTTTAGCCGGAGGAGGAGCCCTTGACTCTCTCCCACTCTCTTCCTCGAGTCTGCCAACCCCCGGAGCTGGGTTTGGAACCTCTTGGTATCCACAACTCACGCCATGCCGCGCCGCCGGTGTGACCGCGAGGGGCAGTAGCCACGGCCGCGGATGCAGAGCAACCCCTTCCACGGTTCCGACCCCTGTCCTCTTGCGATACCCCGTTGGGAACGCCTTTTTTGTGCCACAGTACGCAGTAGGAGTGAGAAGTGCGAACCGGTCCAGGCGAATGGGGAATGAGCGGTTGGGCCACCTTGTTCACGAGGTGGAAGCGGAAACAGGCAGGAGGCCGAAAAAAAGAGAGAAAGAAGGTGAGGCTGCAGACCCGCCACCATCTCAGATTCTGCAGTCACGAAGAACTTTGTGTCAGTTTTTCTTGTCTTAGATGCGGATGTAGACAGATGCAGATGCAGCCCAGATGCGGGAAGGGGTCTACGGATACAAAGATCGGGCCGGGTGGAATACGAAAAGGAGGGTGTTGACGGGAACGGGAAAGGGGAGGTGGGAAGGTCTGCTGCCACGACACCATGAGCAGAAACGACCTCTTGCATCGCGAGGAGGAAACTGAATCGGGGAGCAACGGCCACATTCAAACGACGGCTGGCTGTATTTCTGACGCGTCGTGCTCCAGCTTCAGGAGGACTCGAAGCCCTCCTGGAGTCGTGACCATTGTCGGATCGTTCCCAGCAGCATCATCATCGGCTATTGGAGCCCTGCCTTTCTATCCTCTATCTCTCACTCTTTTCTCCCCTGATGCACGCACGTGGAAGAAAACCCTCCGCTGAGAGCAGTTTGTTTGATTGTGAATTCCGAAACCCCTCGTGAGAAGGGAGATCGGCCACACGGAACATGGAACGAACTGCTTGTCGAAGTATCTACGGATACTGTTTACGCAGTAAGGGGGTTATCGACTTCCAGGTCCAGGTCTCGAGGTCTGAGCCGGGTGGGCGAGAAGGAGACTTTTCGTCCGGTTTCTCACCCCGGAAAGGACGGAGAGAAGTTTTCTTGTTCCAGGCCATTGTCGACAAACCCTCTCTCAGTGTTGTACGAAGGTATGTGGGAGTGTATGATCTCATGCGGCAGCACCGAAAAAGAAAGGGGTGGACGGTGACGGGTGGCTTGGGGAACAGAAACGCAGGACAAGCCTCCAGGGGCCAGGGCGGAGAGGGAAAAGATAAGTCGGGATGGCGGCGAGCAGGCACAAGGAACGGCTTGGGCAATCCCCGTATCCCGGAGTGCGAAGACGGCCCAGAGATTC